GGGGCCGGACCCAGCCGTAAGATCACGGCTGGCTCCGCCCAGCTGTCAGAAGCAGGCTGTCGGCCGGCCAGCTTCGTCTTTCGGCACGGCTCAGCGCTCGACTGAGCCGCTCGGCCGTGATCGGGAGCTGTACGGGCTATTGTGAATAGCCCGTACAGCACCTCCTCGGTTCTCCTGAACCGAAGGGGTCCTGGTGCCGAAGCTAGCCGAAGGATCGGCCGAAGCTACGGCCAGATCCTTCGGCAGCTTTGTGAATAGACCCCTTTGTGTCTTATAGGAATCAACCTCCATGGAAAGAAAGAACTTCCTGAACTCCGACCATAATCCCGTCTCCTCCCGCTGTGAATGGTTAGTGCGATGAGATCCACTTTACATGGAAAACATTTCCCACACTGGGAACAGGAATGCAGCTCCCCTCCACCCTCTTATGCTCCAACATAGACCGGGACTCCTGGGGTCCACTCTCGTGTCCGATGAGGTTCAACCTGAAGGAAAACCACTGAACACAACTTCTGAGTTATGCGTTCAATAGGATCCACACATTCGGAACTCAAATACGACTTTCACATGAAGTCTTCCACCTTTAATGAGAGTCGACTTCCACAAAAAAACACTTCCCACACCTTGAGCCTAAATTTGACTTCTCCCCCATTTGATCCACTTGGTGTGCTATAGGATCCACATTGCAGGAAGAACATTTTCCGCATTGGGAACCAGAATACAACTTCTCCCGCACCATGGGAACTCTTTCACGTTGATGGAACTTCCAGAGAAACGTTTTCCTGCATTTGTAACATATTCACGTCTCCTCCCAACATGTGGACTCTTTCGTGGTCATTAGGATCCGACGTGCGGGAAAAGCTCTGCCCACACGTGGAACATGAATACAACTACTTCGTGTGAACTGTTACGTGCTCTTCAAGATCCGATTTGCAGTTGAAAAATTGTCCACATTCAGAACAGGAATGAGGCTTCTCCCTCACGTGAACCAGCTCATGTTTGCGGAGAGCTGACTTTCGAGCAAAGCTTTTCCCACACTGGTTACACAAATTGTCCGGATTCTCCGCCGCGTGGATCCTTTCGTGTCTAGTAAGGGACGAGCCGTGGGAAAAGCACTTGCCGCATTTGGAGCAGGAGAAGGCCTTCTCTCCCGTGTGGACCACCTGATGTTTCACGAGATCGGATTTCCGGGAAAAATGTTTTCCACACTCAGCACATGAATGAGGCATCACCTCCGCGTGGACTGTCTCATGTTCGAAAAGATCCGCTTGCTGAGGAAAACTTTTCCCGCACACCATACACCAAAACAACTTGACTCTCACATGGATCTCCTTGTGTAGTAAGAGGTTCCATCTGCGGGGGAAGGTTTTACCACATATAGGACACGGATAGGACTTGCTTTCCCTGTGAAGTCTCTCATGTCGGATGAGTCTCCATTTGTGAACAAAACATTTCTGGCATTTGGAACACGAATGCAACTTTTGCCTCGTGTGAACCACTTCGTGTTTGCCGAGATCTGGTTTGCGAGGAAAGCATTTCCCACACTCTTTACCGGAATATGGCTTCTCCCCTTTGTGCAGACATTTGTGCCTGGTGAGAGAAGGTTTATGGGAGAAACCCTTCCCGCACTTGGGGCAGCAATACGGCTTCTCTCCCGTGTGAACTCTATAATGTTTCCCGAGATCCGACTTCTGCGCAAAACTCCGTCCGCATTCCAAACATGCATATGGCTTCACCCCAGTGTGGATCCTCTCATGTCTCTCCAGAAAGCATGGCTGGGAGAAAGCTTTCTGGCACCACGAACACGAATACAACTTCTGGTTGGTGTGAGATCTTTTGTGTACGATGAACATGGATTTGCAGTTGAAGCTTTTCCCGCACTTGGAGCAGGAATATGACTTGGGGACTCGCTCGGGTCTGGGGACTTCCGATTTGCCGGGAAGAATTTCCTGACATTTAGGACAGGAACTTGGTTTGTCCTCAACAGGAGCGCTCTGAGGTGGGACAACTTCTGACGAAGCGGAGACGTCCTCAACGTTAATGTTCTGATCTGGGGAGATAATACGACTCTGTGCTCCCTTATTTCTGTCATCTGGAAGAAAAAAGATAAATGGGAGTAAAAATAAGTTACCAGCAAACCAACCACAGGAGAGAGGATACAAATATCCGACCTCCGTCCTCCCTTCAGTCTTCTATCCGACCTCCGTCCTCCCTTCACTCTTCTATCTGACCCCCGTCCTCCCCTTCAGTCTTCTATCTGACCTCCGTCCTTCCCTTCAGTCTTATATCTGACCTCCGTCCTTCCCTTCAGTCTTCTATCTGACCTCCGTCCTTCCCTTCAGTCTTCTATCTGACCTCCGTCCTCCCCTTCAGTCTTCTATCTGACCTCCGTCCTTCCCTTCAGTCTTCTATCTGACCTCCGTCCTTCCCTTCAGTCTTCTATCCCCTTCAGTCTATCTGACCTCCGGCCATCCCTTCAGTCTTCTATCTGACCTCCGGCCTTCCCTTCAGTCTTCTATCTGACCTCCGGCCTTCCCTTCAGTCTTCTATCTGACCTCCGGCCTTCCCTTCAGTCTTCTATCTGACCTCCGTCCTTCCCTTCAGTCTTCTATCTGATTGTCCCTGCTGCCCCCACCCCTTTCATTGATTGATTTTCAGTTCTTTCTATCATGGAGGCTCAGCATCACATGTGGGTGCGGTCTGTATGCAAATGTTGCCTGCCTAGGAACGCCCACTCCTCCAGACTGACACCCATCCATTAAAGCATTTTGATATTTGCATAACTCCCCCCAAGTGCCCGCCCCCTGCTTACATCAGGGCGGAGGATTACTGACCCGGGGTGCCGTGTACAGCAACCTGCGGGACCCTCCCACCAGCCATGATCTGCTTGTATTGGACAGCCGGCAGATCATGGTTGGTTGACCACCACTGTGGTAGACTCGGCCTACAGCCCCCTCTGTGGATGGAAGGCTTCTCTGAATAGTATATAATAGTGATGAAGTCTTCCCTTACCCAATGATGGGAGGAGCCTCGGATCCTCCTCCGTGATATCGTCCTTGTAGAGGTCCCGGTGTCCTTCCAGATACTCCCACTCCTCCATGGAGAGATAGACCGAGACGTCCTGACACCGGAGAGGAACCTGACACACACAATGATACCGTCACCATCCAGACACATCCCTCGTCTGTTATTGGGTAATGTCCCAGAATTCCCGGCACCTCCCATAATTCCCGGCACCTCCCAGAACTCCCGGCACCTCCCATAATTCCCGGCACCGCTCACCTCCCATAATTCCCGGCACCTCCCATAATTCCCGGCACCTCCCAGAATTCCAGCACCGCTCACCTCCCAGAACTCCTGGCACCTCCCAGAACTCCGGCACCGCTCACCTCCCACCATTACCAGGACATCCCAGAATTCCCGGCACCTCCCAGAATTCCCGACACCTCCCAGAATTCCCGGCACCTCCCAGAATTCCCGGCACCTCCCAGAATTCCAGCACCGCTCACCTCCCAGAACTCCGGCACCGCTCACCTCCCACCATTCCCGGGACATCCCAGAATTCCCGACACCTCCCAGAATTCCCATCACCGCTCACCTCCCATAATTCCTGGCACCTCCCATAATTCCTGGCACCTCCCAGAATTCCCATCACCGCTCACCTCCCAGAATTCCCGGCACCTCCCATAATTCCCATCACCGCTCACCTCCCATAATTCCCATCACCGCTCACCTCCCATAATTCCTGGCACCTCCCATAATTCCTGGCACCTCCCATAATTCCCATCACTGCTCACCTCCCAGAATTCCCATCACCGCTCACCTCCCATAATTCCCGGCACCTCCCATAATTCCCATCACCGCTCACCTCCCATAATTCCCATCACCGCTCACCTCCCATAATTCCCATCACCGCTCACCTCCCATAATTCCTGGCACCTCCCATAATTCCTGGCACCTCCCATAATTCCCGGCACCGCTCACCTCCCATAATTCCTGGCACCTCCCACCTCCCATCATTCCCGGCACCTCCCATCATTCCCGGCACCGCTCACCTCTCCAGTCAGAAGCTCAATGATCTTGTTGATGACCTCCAGGATCTTCTTGTCGTTGGTCCTCTCTGGTGTCATATATTGAGGTGGAGGCTCCATGATGGCGCTCTGTCTCCTGCTCCATTCTTCTAACACATGGGATTGGCTGCCGTGGGTCACATGATCACTGGTCTTCTTCACTATTGTGCATTCCTGGGTATTAAAGTGTCATCAGGACCAAGTTGTCATCACAAAGTCACACTCGCACCTTGCCCCGCCCCCTCCTTCATGTTTTCTGGCTCCTCCTTTCAGACTTACGTTTTGGGCACTTTTGCTGGTTAAAATATAAACAATGCCGATTTGAAATTCCCAGAATCCTCCTCACCTACGGGGGGGGGGGGGGGGGGGGGGGGGGGGGGGGATATAAGTCCGGCCTCTCTGTGCACCTACATGCAGAATCAGCCAGAATCAGAGACACCCGTCTACTCCTCCTCTGAGGGAAAGCGGCTCCTGGGGCAGCAATGGAGTGCTAGCAGTCCCGAGGAGGGGATCACTTCATTTTTCTAAGTAGCTGCCCCCTGATTGGTAGTTTGGAGGAGCAGTGTAGAGGAAGCCAGGGGCTTGCAGGTATAACATTTTCATTTGTAATACATAGGGACATTTTTGCATACATTTGTAGCCCTGGCTGGCGGTCCCTTTAAGCTGCTCCGCAGGGCTTCAAACCCCGGCCACAGTACATTTACCCCTGCCGGTGATTGAGAGAGAGGAGAGCAGGAGGATGCTGATTGGCTGCAGTCAACCTTGGGTCACCTGCCCATAGCAACAGGAGATAAGGAGGACTTTGACTGGCCGGCGGGACTTATTGCTACCCACCAAATGGGCTGCCTTATGTCCGACGTTACCCCAAAATGGTGCCAGCGCTGCAAATTCTGAGTCACTGAGCAGAACTGAAGGTCGGATCGGAGGTCAGATTTAATATTTTCCCGTCAGAATTTATATCCAACGGGCACTTTTGCTGGTTAAAATTAGGGATGAGCCGAGCACCCCCATGTTCGGTTCGTATTCGAACGGCTGAAATGTTCGAATACGAACTCAATGCAAGTGCGACCCCCATACAGCTGCCGGTACATGTAGGAAAACTATGGCTGCAGCGGCCTGTGTCCCTTCAAATCTCAGCGGCTGTGTTGGCGGAGGCAGCGGGGGGACACAGACCGCTGCATGCCTTCGCTGCCCCCCTTACCTCCGCTGCTGTCCCGACCTCCGATCCCCTGGTCTGTCTGCTGCGTCTAGGATCCGGCCGCGGCTCCTCTGCCCCGCCCCCTCTGCCTCCTCTTCATTGCAGGCTGGGAGCCATACCCAGCCTGCTATTGGATATTGTAAAATGCAATAGCCAATAGCAAGCTGGCTATTGCACCCGCCCACTGCCTGCTGTCAATCAGCATTGGGTGGTCTGATAGAGAACTTTCTCCTTCAGCCCCACCCCCCTCTGCTGAGCCCTGATTGGGCAATTGGGCAAAGCACCCCTGATTGGGCAAAGCACCTAACCTTGTAATGACGTGGCGCCTGGCCTCCTGATTGGCCAGGAA